ATAAATTAATTAATTGGATTTGTTATTTATATTTTCGAATTAATTAATTGGATTAATTAATTCACGGACCGGGTTTAATTAATTGGATTAATAAATTATTGGACCGGACCGGGCCGAGCCTATTTGGGTTTATATAAATATATAACTAGGGTTTGAGGTCCATTAAGGTATTCATTATTCTTGCTAGCACAAGAGAAAACCCTAGAGGCTGCAATCATATTCTCTGTGTGGATCACCGTTGGAGGCTGGACAATTGGACAGCTGTGGTGGCGAATCAAAGTTGTGGAACGAAAAGAAAAGCAAAAGGATTGCAGATCTGGAAAAGGTACAATCTTATCACAATTCCTAACCAAACACAATGAGATCTATTGGGTGGGAATCGAAATAATTTAATTTTCCGCTGTGCATGTATAAGTAGATTCCCTACAGTTTGGGCTCTATTAAAAATAGATTTTAAAGAAAAATATATTTTCAAATAATATTTTTTGAATAATATATTATTAAGAAATAAAGAAAAGTTTTAAGTTTACGTATAATATTATTTTATTGAACAATAAATGGTTTAAAATAAGAAAGAGAAAAATATATTTTTTTTTAAATGTAACCTAAAGAGAGACTTTAATATCCTCACTAAGCATCGCTTTTATGTACAGAAATTATCGAGAAATTCAAGGTCGGTTAGCAATAATATTTTAATGGCTTAATATCATTTGTGACAAAATCGTTCTTCACGCACAAAAAAGAGAAATATAGAAAAGATACAGAACACACACATGCACGGGATGGGTGATTTGTCTTTTTCAATATAAAACTCACATAGTACCCACCCTATGTGAGTTTTCTATTTTTCTTCTATGTAGGAACAGTTCTATGTAGGAACAGTCCTATACACATAGAATTGGTCTTTGTGACAAGCATGCTTTGTGAGATATTGTTTCAATCTTGAACCATGATAGTGTTCAACTCTTGGTATTATTTAGATTAAACAGGATACTATGTTTCTTTCAAGTTATAGTTTCTGTTAGAGCATAATATCATGCAAATGACGATATCATGGGTGGCCCCACATGAGGTCAAGATTGGACCCCACAACATTTTTTACCATTTTTTTTTTTCAAAAATTTGTAGTTTTACCCCGACCTTTTTTGTCTTTACCTCCTGATAACTCTCTTTTCCTGCCCCAAATTTAGAATACACTAATCGAATAAACCCCCCTATAATCTCCGATTTCAATCTTTATCCTTCAATTCAAATAAGTCTCTCTTTTCAATATCCAATCTCTGTTCTCTATTCTTCAATCAGGTATGAAATTTTACAACTTTAATTTTTATGTTTGATGTACTGATTTTTTATCTTTACAACTCACAAAATTAGGTATTTAGATTGTAGATAATAATTTCCTTCCATTGTGATTGGAATTAGGACCATCGGAGTGATGAAAAATGGAGAATCTGGCAAATGGGATGCCAAGATGATTCAATCACAAAGATCTTAGGAATTTTCATCTTTTCAATTAAGAATTCTTGAATCGAATTTCTGTTCAAGCATGCTATGAAATCATGCGAGAAGATATATTATAATGTCTTATATATAACTTGGTTTACACGTTTCATTCAAAACTCCCCCAGTGAGAAAAGCATATGTAAAATTTTTGTACGCTTTCAAGAAAAGTCTAAATTGACATCAAACTACAATTTTTTTTTATGCAAATTACCTTCCATTTGTTATGAGACTGAAAGAGGAGTTCATAAAATCTCTAGTTGGTGTCAATACATTTGTTATATTTTGTTTGATACGATGATCTCTACGCATTCTGCAAATAGCTCGTGACAATATGTATTTCTTGGACACATTAAGCCCCTATTTGGTTTATATATAAATCATATTTTTAATAGATTTTGATAAAAGTTGATTGATTGTGAATCCCATGAAATTTGTAATTAAAATTAATAGTTGACTTTGACTTAGATTTAAAAGTAGAATCCCAAGCTAAATATATTTTGTTGTGAAATCGATAAACATCGCTCTCAATACATGTACATAGGGAAAATGGAACCTAATGCAGTCTAATCGTGTGCACGTTGTAGTTTTGAGTAGGTTATTACAATTTCATGCCTAATTACATGGAAGTAAGGTTGAATTCTCAAATCGCCTACTATATTTCAAACTTTAATTTTAGGTGTAGAATAATGGAGACTGCACCTACATTGCCCGTATTCGCTTTAGCCCTCAAACCTAATGAATATTAGCTTCCTCTTGTAAATGCCTATTCGAATGATGGAACAAAAAACGAGCAACTCAACTCCAACAACCTTAAAGTGTAGCTATGCTGGCGGATCCAACACCTGGCGAGCCCCACGATCGCGGGTGCTGGATCCGCCGGGAGCCCTTTTTTCTTTGATTGAGAATAGATAAAGGTTTAGAACATATTATTGGTAATTCGTTCTCGTTTTAATCATTCCTTCTATTCATGTTGGTTAGCGCTTACTAGGAATGTCAACGAGCTGAGCTGAGTCAAGTCGACTCGCGAGTCAAAACTCAAGGCTTGAGCTCGGTTCGAGTAAAACGAAACGGCTTTTTTCGAGCCCGAGCCTGAGGCTTGACTCGAGCTTTCGGCTCGAGCCTTAGCAAGTCGAGCTCGACCGGCTCAATTTTTTCTCTCTCTCTCTCTCTCTCTTTATTTTTTTATTAATATTTTTAAATAATTACATTGGCACTGCTGCCTACTTTCGTGGTTTTATTTTTATTTTTTTTAATAAGGCCTGAGCCCAAGCCGGCGAACCACACGGGCTGGCTCGGACTAAGCCGGGAACATCAAAATGGGGCTCAACCCGAGCCTCGAGCCGAGTTGGCTCGGGCTTTTTTCGGGCTGAGCCACGGGCGCCCGAGCCGACGAGCCCAATTAACATCTCTAGCGCTTGCATGTTTATCTTGGAAGTCCCAGGTTTGAAACTTTTGTTAACCAATTTATTGTATATCATTTTTAGTTATATAATTTTTACCAAAAATCGTTGCAATAAGGAAAGCGCCAAAGGGGATTCGAACTTGTGAGTTCTTAGAAATATTGAAGATTTGACCGTTATGACATTTGTTGAGTTATGATACTAAATTTAACAAATATATGTTATATTTTAGCGGTTTTAATGCAATTATAAAATCTCGAATTTGTGCTCTTCCTTTGAATTATATAAAGCAACAATGTATTTTGGTGAGTACGATTTATTCTTCTAACAAAATTATATATGTTCAAATTCAACAAAATAATTATTTTATTTAAAGTTTAAACCTTGTTTGATTTTCATTTATTTCAAAATACATTTTTTTCTTTTTTTTTTTCAAACAAGCATTCTTTAATAAAATAATATTACACGTAAATTCGAAACTTTTCTTATTTTTAACTACATATTCTTCATCAAACCACTATTCCAAAATGCATTTTTTTGATAAAAAAGGATAACAAACGAGCTCTTAATATTTTATTGTGGTCCACGATCGACGGTTAATGGCCGCCCGTGCTGACTCAACATCTTGAATTCGCCACTAGCCGCCTACGCAACACACATTTTTGGCATCGAAACTATGGAAATAGGTGCAGGCATTGTCAAGAACTTGGAATCATTGTAACTTTTTCTTCCTTGACGTCGGTCTTGAAGGTTCATTCTCTCCATTTCCATGACTTTTCTTCTTGTATATTTCTTCTGTTGATAGCATCTTGTACAAGGCCCTTTCGGGTGCAACGATGAAGGTTAGGCTATCTCCAATGAAGACACAAAAACAGGCAATTGCACTAAAAAATGGTGCAAAACCAACACTATTCACTTTGCACCATTTTGCATCAAATGATCCAAAGTCAATTTTACCATTTATTTGCATTTTCCAAATAAATTAATTAAGAATATTTGTGTCATTGGTGCTATATATTTTTCAATATAATAAATTATTGTTATTATTTTTTACATTTAAAATTCAATTTAAATGTAAAAAATAATAATTAATGAATTAATTAAAACAAGAATACAAAAAAATTAGAAGAAAATGGTTAAACACTGTTCATTTAGTATAAATTTTGGTGTAATGATTGGATATGAATTTTACTTTGGTACAAAATGGTTCAAATTTTGGTGTAGGGCTGAAGATGATCTTAAGAATATATAATTCGTAATTCAAGATCATTTCTTGCGTTCATGAAACTAAAGGTTAAGGATATATAATTTGTAATCCGAGATCACTTATCATGTTAATAGAAGTATAGCGAGTAATCATTTGTCCAATTGTTTGACAGACAAAAGATTTGTAGAAGTCCGTGTCAAGTATGAGAATTTATCAAGATGATGTTGTATTCTCTACTCATTTTCGAGTTAAGTATATATTCCCCAGACGCAGATTATTATTTCGCTAGAAATCATCAAGCTAATTCAGTTTCGACCATTAGCTGCAAACACAGATTTTTTTTTTTTTCTTCTAGAAGATAATACTTTTAAGGCATAAATTGGGAAAGATACCAAGTGACAGATTCACGCCAGTACTGGACAATTGAGTAGCAAAAGAAGCAAAGTATGGCTACAAGTATTCTTTGGCACTCGGAATAAAAATGACAAGATCACTTAACCTCCCGAAGAAGAGCACTACATCCTCGTAGGCAAGAGAGTTGGGCGTTAAACCATAATTCCTTTTCAACCGAAAGGATCACTTTCTGTACAAACAACTGCATCCATTCCAATAAGACCTTTATCAACATGCACAGCGCATCCACATTAAGTTTAAACGAACGAGTAGCAGGATGACTCCAATAAGCGCAGCCAAACAAACTTATTAGGCATGCCATCTCATTATCAATTTCCAACTTCCACATCTATCAGAGCATATCGTTCAAAATTGCAAGGTAGAATCACATAAAACTTTCATCTACAACTGTAAATTTAGTCAACAACCCATCCAATTCTTGCATTACAGCCTGATAACGTTCTTGAGACTGTGCCCCTTCTTCAACAACTTCAATGCCATGTCTACACAAAAGATTATACCATTGAACAGGACCATCCACGTCAGTTACACTGAGTTCATTATCTATGTGGAAACTGCGCTTATAGTCTTTGTTCCACCGTCGCAGAATGTATTCTGAAGGGATTTCTTCTACACCATTATAATTCAAGACATTCAAGGCATGCCGGCATAAATAACCTTTCAAATTGAACAAACTACAAATGCAACGTATTTCCATTTGAGTTGTCTCATACAGAACCTCATAATGCCTAACCTCCTTCTCATTTCCCTCAACCTCGATCCTTTCTTTGACAACAAATGTCAGTATTGGTCCATTAGCATTCACTTGCCTTGTGTTAAAACAAGAATACATCCCCTCGACTTCAAATTGGAATTTATTAAATATTTCCTTTGTATAAACCTTGGAGAGCTGCAATTCAAAATTGCATTTTGTTTTTAACTCGAAGCATGAGTTTCTGGACTCAAAATCTCCCATTGCTTCTTTCAAGTGCTTTCTTTGAAGAGCTAGATCATACTTATCAAGAAATTCCTTAAAAGATGTGTGCTTATGTACATAACCATCAAAAAATGCACTCAACCCCTCTCGCTCGTTCATTGGAAGCATTCCCACAAAAGAAGTGTCCTTGAGGTAAACCGGCACCCACCTTTCTCGGTCTTGATATAGTGATTGAAGCCATTTATTATCCCTGAGGCCATGTTGACTAATCATCTCCCACCAGGAAGTTTCAAACTCAGCTATCCTCAAGGAATCATAAACTGCTTTATTCAGTTGCCTTTTGATTGTTTCATATCCTTTTAATCCACCCAACTTCTCAGGAACACGATGCATAATATAGGAGGAATTATAACAATGACGAGCTTGGGGGAAAACTTCAGAAACCGCTACATGTAAGGGTTTGGACTGCTCAGTAATAATAACTCGGGGATACTGCCCCAGCATACATGTAAGCCATGCCTTAAGCATCCAGATAAGATACTCGACTGACTCATGTCCAAGGAAGCCACATCCCAACAAGACAGATTGTCCATGCTGGTCTACACCCACAAATGAAAGCAGAGGTACTTCATACTTGTTTGACAAGCTCATTGTGTCGATTGCAACTGTGTCAGAGAAGTAATAATATGCAATCCTTGACCTAGCATCCGCCCAGAACACATTTCTCAAGTGCCCCTCATTATCAAGATCCATCAAATAAAAGAAGTTAGGATTTGTCAGCTTCATACGACAAAAGTAGTTATAGACTGCATGTGCATCCCCCTCTTTGAGTTCTAGATTCTTAGAGTGATCAACAGGTGTTTGACCATCAATCTCATCTGTCTTGAAATGTCCATTACGCGAAGCATCTATAACAGCTGTCTGGTATAACTTAATAGTATGTATTTCTTTGATAGGTTCGGACTGCTGTGCTTTCTTGGCAGCGAGAAACATCTTTTTATGCGACTTATAAAAACGTTTGATCTCTGGGTTCACTGGATGGTTGTGTTCAAGCTCAACTTCTACTATTCTCCACCTTTTAGCATCCACAAGTTTTATGATTGTCATTGCAGGACAACCTGTTCTTGTTTCTGGCCTCGGATTGTTTGCTTCGCTTTTTTTCTTGAAACCAGCACTGCTGCAGCTGAGTTTTGCTCTATACCTCTCCCTTCTTTTTGATCGGAACCATGAATTGCTCACTCTGATGCCAAATCCTTGATCCTTGGCATAGACATTGTAGAAGTCATAAGCTTCCTCAAAAGACTCGAACTCCAAACCGACTGTGGGAGGTAAGGGTTCTTTTTTAAACTGTGATTTGTGAACTTCGTTGTCATATTCCAGCTTGTCACAGTCTCCATCTTCGAAATCTTCACCCTCCCCAAAAATTGGCTCACTGTTGAGAGACACTGCTTCCATCTAAGACAAAACTAGACACTACAACGAATAAGGGAAAAAAAAGGTTAAAAGTAGAAAATCGGAAAAGAGAAGCAACCCTATTGGCATAAGAAACAAATACATAAGAGATTAAATAAACATTGAACAAATTCCTCATTTTCACTTTTTATTACATATAGTACATAAGCATGGCTAGGGCAGCTGGGCAGAGCCAAGATTTTGGAATTGTGGGGGCAAATGAAGTGATAATATATTATTACAATTTCAAGATATATAAAAAAAATATATATATCTATGCCAGGATGCTCAATTAAAAAGTAATGTGAAATAAAATAAAAATATCATATCATACAGCATTGTGTAATTTTTGCACAAGTTCCAAAAAAAAAAAAAATCTCTATCACAAGATGTAAAATTATTGCACTAATAATTAGGCGTACTGACATTTGGGGCTGCTCGCTTGAGTAATTGAGTTTTGTTCCTGTCTCATTTTTTTAAAAGAAATTTTCTCCATGTCTAAACCCAAAAACAAATTAATGGAGTTCAAGGAATAAAAAGCTAATACAAAACAATAGTTAAAAGTAGTAAACATTTTTCAGCTAATTATATGACAAAATAGACCCAACTTTTCTAATCAATTAATGGCACATTCAAAGAAAAAAATCTTAGAAAACTGTACTGTAAAAACGGGATCTAGTATTGAGAAACACAAAGGGGGTGGTGATTCCGCCCTCATAATTCTTCATGATCAAATACTATGACGGGTAGAATACAACTAGAAAATCAACAGCAATTAAAATATTCAAGAAATTAAACTTCAGGAAAAGGCAAATAAACAAAACACACAATAATTTTCGCGCACACACAATTATCGGTTCTCAGTTTTCATAATTTAGTTGAAGCCAATGCTACCAAATTATGAATGTCGCACACATAATTATCAGAATTAAGACACATAATTTAAACTCTAAAGACTTCAAAATGACATGCAAAAGAACTAGAGAAGAGAGATTAACTGAAATTTAGCAGCCTCAAGAAACGCTATAATCCACGTCTGCTCGTCGATCGGTTGCAAAAAAATCCAGATTTCAGATTGTTTTGCTGTGAAAATGGAATGTAAAAGGGAGAGTAATTGACTAATTGCCGTGGAAATGTGAGTGCAAGAGAGGGTGACGCATTAGAATTCGGAGGTTTTTGTCCCTGTTTAACCCCTAAATTTTATAGTTTGATATTTTATGTAGAATTTATTATAAACCTAACTATTACCAAAACAATTTTATCCAAATACCTTTCTAGTTAAAAAATATTAATCGGCACCCCTAAATTTCTTTTTTTTTTTGGAGAAGTTGAAGGAAAATCTAAGTGTGTGTTTGATTTGTCGTTTTGAAGTCACTTTTAATTTTCAATTTTTTAAAGCGAATATCTTAAGAATACGAAATTTAAAATCCATTCAATTATGAAGAAAATAAACTCACAAATTTTATTAATGAATGATAATCAAAATAACGAAATAACTCATTATTTATAAAGATTTACATAAAATGGTAGTTTAAAACAATTAAAATTGATGAAAACAAAGTTTAAACAAACTAAAATTAAATGACAGAAATAACGTCAAAACTTTAAAAATTCGTTTTCAAGTCTTAAACAAATTCGAATGGCTTAAATCCATCATACATCATGGCATAGCGATAAATATTATTCATCTCATCGTCCTCTTTTCAAAATAGTTCTATGGGCTCAATTCAAAATTCGAGGGCCTATTTGGGAGTGATTTTTTCACCCAAAAAATTGATTTTTTGACTGTTATTTCACTAATCTAGTCGTTATATTTGACTTCTTCTCTCACAGGTAGACCCTACTTTTCTTCTAACGGCCAAAAAATTAATTTTCAAAATCACTCCCAAACAGGCTCCGAATATTTTCTCTCAACTATTGCATTTTCCCCATTTTTATTCAATTCTATTTCCATTCATTCAACAATATGTTCTATATAAATAAATAAAAAAAAAAAAAAAAAAAAAAAAAAAAAAAAAAGCACTCAAAACGTGCTTAGCATATTATTTTAAAAAATGAGCTTTCAAAAACAAGAAAAATTTTACAACATAAAATTTAAAATAGCTTTTTTATATTTTGAGTGTTCTCATTGAAGACACTCAAAAAACTCAAACACAAATAAAATTATCTTAAAAACTTCTCAAATTAAAATAATTAATAAAATTACATAAAAAAACATATCCAAATACTAATAACCATCTCTCAATCTTTCTATCTCACACAATTTATTATTTACGGATGACTCCATATGATGGTTGAAGATTACAATAATTCTTTTTTCTTTTTTTTACCAACTTCAAAAATTATATTTTTTGATCCCGTATTATCATAAAATTGATATATTTTACTAAATAATCAAATTAATTGAAAAAAAAATAATGTATACTAAATAATCAAATTAATTAAACCAAATGCGTTTTATAGAATTTTAAAATAATCTCTCAAAATAAAAAATAGAAAATAAATTCAAAACTGAAAATGCAATTGCAAATCAAACACACCTTAATTGTCTTCATTTTCCAAATCAATAATGTTTAGGGTAAATATATTCATACCACAATTTTTAGTAACTAAACAAAATTTTAATTACATGAAAGTTTCGTAATCTTTACACATCACCATATTTAATCTCAAACTTTTTTGCCTCAAATTTTTATTCTCAAATTAACATAAATTATTCCTACTTACAATTTCTTTTCATAATTTTCATAGTGAAAAGACATATTTATCCATTATATTTTTGAATAAACAAAAAATAACAGTGTAAAAATATGATTAAATATTTGACCCTTAATTTAGAGCATGTTGATAATACATTTGGACAAAAACCACAATTAAAAACAAAATTCTTTTATGGATGAAATGTTGAAATAAGAATGTGATGATTTTTTTTTTTAAGGATATAAATTAGGGCCGCCCGGCCCGGGCCTATCTTGGGGTGTCAAGCCAAGCACGAGCCTAAAAATAAATAAATAAATAAAATAAAATAAAATAAAACAAAAAGATGTGGCTCGACTTGGCCGGGCAAGGCCCGAGCTGAAAACTCAGGTTGAGCCTCAATTTTTTGGCCGCGCTTTTGCTCGGTTCGACTCGGGCCAAAGAAAGCCCAACTTAATAAAGCTCAAGCCTAGCTCGAGCCTTGAGTTTCTGATATTCCTACCTACTTTAACCTTGCTCTCCCAGGGTCAGTGACAAAATATAGACAAACCCTTTACCGAACTCAATTCTTGAATCTTGAATTGAAGAACAGATCGCGTCTAGTTTCAGAAATGGAGGTTGGCAGGGAAAGAGTACTTGATCTCTCAAAGCAAGCTCTGGTTACATCGAAGTTTCAAGAGGAACACGGAGAAAAGGGGCATTGGGACCTACAAAATTTACATGAGAAACTAAACAAAGTATTTAAACACGTAAAGTTTCATCGTGTTCCTGCTCGAAACTAATCATCATCAATGATCACAAGCGAGGATGGCAAATGACCAATGTAAATAACTGAACATCAAACCCATCTATACTAATATTCACCCAGGTTTACATAATTTATACTTCAGCATCGGAAAAAAAAAAAAAGGACAAAAACGAATAGAAATGTTCATAATCAATCAATACGAGTGGTGTATCATTGAACTAAACTACGAAAAATACTGAAAACACAACATAAAATCATCTTTGATGCACAGCAAGAAACTATGTAAAGGAAGCAGGCAACCATGGCTAGTATGTTAGAATCTAGTGAACATATCTCCACTCAACTTTCTTCTTTCTCGTCCTCTCCACCAGACGCACTTCATGGTAACGGGTGCCAAAATTATATCTGAAATTTGAGTGGAAGCAATTGTAACTCACAGAAAATATGGTACTCCAGTCCTGGGTCCTCGCATCTGGTTGTTCTCCTCAGTCTCTGTGAAGAACTTCACCTCTCTCTCCTATTCAAGCAGAGGATCAATCAAAAACAATCAAGTCAGAAATCAAGGCCAGTACTATTATATTCATTCACTTGTTTCTTCGTATTGATTGCAACTATTTATGGCAGCATGGCGCTATCATATAGTACACAATACATATTATGGGAACTCAACATTTTTGTTAAACAAATGAAGCGAAGCCTATGCAATTAAAATGTAAATCTCAGATTCTGTAATATGCCTGCCGAGCTCATGTAAATCATAATTACCGAGTCTGTGGGACACAGCATTCAACAAAAATCAAAGTCGTTTAACAACTTTAACACAGACGAGCATCTGCAAGTTGACAGGACTTTGAGATAGATGAAATTTAGCACCCGTTTGCCCCCATTAATTTATATTATATTAAATTACATTACATTTTTCTCTCTCATATTTTCAACCACACAATCTTTCATAAAATAATATTATACGTAAATCAAAATTTTTTCCTTCCTTTTCAATCATTCATTTTTCAAAAAAATACTATTCCCCCCATTTTTAACTCTACAAAATGAGGGCCAAACAGGGCTTTAACCCTTTAACAGACACACTGCCCTTTGTTCCTCGACTATGACCAAGTTATATCATCATCAATTATGATAAAAATAACTTCCTCTATCAACTACGAGAACGGAAAACAGTAAGAAGCAAGGACACCATTGCTTATTATGAAAAAACATTAAACTATGACATGTGCAGGCATGTTCTTCACTCACTGCGGGAACTGGGAAGGTTTTCCTAATGCAGAACCTAATAAAGATAAAATCCCCTCGATGTCACACAAGAATCATAATCACAATTGTGCAGTTTATGGTTTATTTACGTTACTGAGTTAGACAGTGCATGCGCACATGGAGAGACTAAAGTAATTAACACATGGAAAATTAAGCAGTACTACCATTTTCTCATTGAAGCTTAATATCGAGGCAACATTTCCGCAACGGTAACAATAATTTGGAGCAGACCACACCTGCATATTCCAATGAGCAATGAGATAATCAAAGAATACACGGAAAAGATTGCACCAAGAAATGCCATGTTGTAGCTCATGTAGAAATGGCAACTCACAGTTACAAGTCCTTTATCTTGAAACATGTACTTCAGACCTTCTTGTACAAGTTGGTGGGCTCGGCAAACTAGATCAAGTTTGTTAATGTGATTGAACTGCAAAAAACCACTACAAGTTTTATCATTACCTATTATATGTTTGAACTGCACAACAATCTTCAGAAGTTTTGAGATGTCATAATTCATTATCAGGATTCTCTTGGAGATTCTTTTAGCTAGAGTGGGCTGTTCACCCACAAGCCAATGATTGTCTGCTGCACCATTGGCTACCAAGCTTTCTCATATATATCATGGACTTACCTCAGAAGTAACCCTGGACCCAAAAAGCCAGCCTGCTCCTCTAGGACTCACAGCCCATGTCTCAATATCTTCAGGATCACTCCACATTAGGTCACAGAAAGGCCCTTCATGGGGGATTTCACAGTTCCGTTCAATGACTCGAATCTGCAAAGGAAACAAGGACAAGAAATGAATATAATTTTATCTTATATGCACTGGACTCTGTTAACCAAACGGCAGTCTAAACCAAGCACGATAGATTAACATTTGTCACATCCAAACCTTAAAAGTTCATCACTATTAGTGAGAAAATTAAAAATATGTTGTTCCTGAAACAAACCAACTCCTCCATTGTAATTATACGCATAAAATTCCAAATAAGGCATGCATGCTACATGCTCAATTCTTCATCCTTTTAGGAAAAGCATGTTTTGGTTGAGCATAGGTGAGCAATTAGCTCTATCTCATTGAACTTAAATTGATTTTTTTTATCAACTTTTCTCATGGTTGTGCAAGATGAACAAATGACAATAATAAAACCTGATCAACAGTTCTAACGTCTGGGGATAGCCCACCGTGCACACAAAGTACCTGTTAGTCCACAGAGACAATACATTAATAATGCAAGTATAGAAAATGAGAAATAATAACAAGATTGAAACAACTGAAAATGGCTCTTTCATTTAAGCTTTCTTTTACTTTCTCTGCACCAATACTACAAAAATCCCGAGATATGGATTTATATCTATAATTGGTTTAGAAATTTAGAGAGGTGAGAATTTTTAACAGATATCCTCTCTAAATGATAGGCTAAGCCCTAATTTGATTTAGATAAAAATCATATTTTCAGTTGATTTTGATAAAAGTTGATGAAACGTGTAGTTGAAAAGTCGTGAGTCCCATAAAATGTGTGGTTAAAATTAATTGTTGACTATGACTTAGATAATGATCTCACTTTTTAGTTGAAACAAATAGGGGCTAAGAGAGTAATAAAGTTGGCATACCGTTCCATCTATAATTGCTGAAAGAGTTAGATAGTCAAAAACATCTGTGCAATACCGCCAGGCGTTTGCATTCCCATACTTCCTTTGACATTCATCGTAAAATCCATAGACCTGCGGAGGATGATTACATGAAAAAGGTCATCAACACTTAGCAGTAATGGAAAATGCTATTCTTGTACATTGCATGCTTGATACCAAGGGCATAAAATAATCTAAACACAATATGCAGCCATATATTTTTTGTCCAGATAGAACTTAAGGCTAGATAGTAATAATCAAGCCATAACCAAATATAGAGGACATTCTCTTCATCACCAATTGCCCATCGAAACCATAGTCGATATGATGCAGTGAATCAAGACTGTTCATTATTTAGAAAAAACAAATGCCAATTAATTTCATTATGAGAAAAGATCTTTCTTCGTTCATTTATTATTCAAATACAAGAGGAAATCAAGAATAAAATTAAGGAGAAACGAAAATCAAGAAAAGAGGAAATCAAATATAAAATTAAGGAGAAACGAAAATCCTCAGACTCCTCATGCCTAAAATCTTGAAAAGATGGTAAAAGATTTTCCCTCGCTCATAAGTCAGCTACTACTTGCTCCTTTCCTTCAAAAATTCTGCCTTTCATTTTTTTTTTTTTTTTCCCTACAAATGATTCAAAAATAGCTGAAACATTGACCCTCATGTGCACTTGCAGTTCCACTTTGAGCTTCTTTATTGATTCCATTTAACTATATTGGCTTTGAAAGCACAGTGAATCAAGTTTCAACAATGATTACCTGAGTCAATTGCCTGCTTTCATGATTTCCACGTAGGAGAGTAATGTTAGCTGGGTATCTGCAGCAAAAAATAAAAATAAAATATAAAATATACATCAGCCAAAGGAAAATATATCAACTATAAAGAAACTCAAATAGTATATTAGACCAAAAATATGATTTTTAGCTATTTTGCTAAAAAATTGAATGTTTTAACATACAAAGCTTGCAAAAATAATACTAATGACACATGTTATCCATAATATGTATTGCAGTTGCAATAATATTAGTTCATCAAAGTAAAGCTGAAAATTTTCTGCACCAATACCTAGTGAATTTAAGTTTATGGAGACAAAAATACAGAGAAGGAAATGACAGTGCTTAGATATGTATCCATACCAGGATCATATGAACTAGACCAACAAGAACATTCATTCAGATTGACCAATACCTGTCATTTTTATTATATAAATGCAATTAGACCAGAACATCCCAGCTTTGTATTAAGAACCAAATTCTTGTCAATATATGTTTTTGCCAAATTCTTTATGGCAATGGCATCAAGACATAGATGCAATGATTTTCATTCTAAACCTTTCTTCAACATGATCGCGAATTGAATTAGACACCAGATGGCTGAGACTATTTGCTGAAGAAATCTTATGAAATAATCGAAATACAAATAAATTAACAAAATTCAAATATAGAACATAATCAGGCATGCCATGCACCTCGCTTTGAGAAGCAAAAGAATGGTGAAAACTTCTAGGCTATTGTAACCTCGGTCAACAAAATCTCCCTGCCAAGATAGAAGAAGTTTCGTCATGGAACTAAAAGAGTCCAAAATATGGAACAAGGATAAAAAGGAAAGTTAAAACAGACGTAAATCAACATATTTATATAAGATTCACCATAAATATGTAATTTGTCTCAGGTACATGACCTCCGGTCTGGAAGAGTTTCATCAAATCATGAAACTGTCCATGGATGTCCCCACATACTGTAACGGGACTATTCACAGGCTGAACATTTGACTCCTCAATCAATATCTCCTTTACCTGAATAAGAAAGAGCTAAATTAAAATTAGGGGAGCATAAGGATAACATAGCACCTACTAGTAAACAAAAAAGATAATGCTGCCAGAATGTGGAGTAGCCTCTAGAATTATAAGTAAGAATATCATATTAAGTACAGAATGAAATAAGTAGATCATGAAGCGGACAAGCAGGCAAAGAAGTCCCTTCTTATCTTCATTGCAAGCAAAGAGATGACTAATTGTTGAAATTAGTTGATTACTTCTTTCCTCAAAACACCCCACAGAAAAAGAATAACACCAAATTCACACATACAAATTATTTTTAGATGGCATGAAATTAGTCTAGACCAAACCGGGATGCCACAAATCTGGTTTTAAACACTTGTAGGCAGAGATTTGTTTCTTAGCAATCTATACCGGAAAGTTTATACTAAAAGAAAGAATGGTTTGGAAGCATATAACAGTTTGTTTATTCTACAGTTTCTGTATTCTTGAAACCTCACTGCAATTAAGATTTATTTTGTCCTCAGCCACTATAATTCAGACCAGTAATAAAGAATGTGCTGTTTCAATACCATTAGTTACATAATCAAACTAATGATTGGGTATTAAATTTCGATAATAAGTAGAAATAAACATAATACAAAGTGTCTATAATTACATATGATCCTTAAAGAGTTAACAGAAGTGCAGCTTTACAAATCCTCCCAAAAAATTCAAACTTAGAAGAACTCTCTCGTAAAACCCACGAAACTAAGAAAGCGGCTGTAATACATACAATCTAACTGCCAAAAAATGAATTCAATGCCATCAATTCTTGAATGCATTTACACACAGAGAGTAAGAAACAGAAAAAAAAAATGCAAAAACGAAGCAACAATAAGAATAAGAAGAATGACATACGTATTCGCAGAGAAGCTGAAGCTCATCTTCAGACAAGTGCTGACCTTCTTTCACCTTCACTATCCACTGGTCCAAATCCATTTCCCTTAATTCTTCTGATTTTCTTCTACAATTGAATGGATATACCTCTATTACTCTGTCAATTACTAGTGTGTAAAAATATGATTACAGATCGAAAGGAGAGGGATTCGATCGGAGATGCAAGGCGGAGAAAAGAAAAAATAACAGTCTCGTGAAGATTCACACAAATTTCGAAACCCTCCTCTTCCCCGATTTCTTTCCCTTTTCTTTTTAATATAAAAATAATATTAATTATTTATTGGAGGTTGAACTTTCTCTCTCCAGAAATGGCACAAGTTGCCGGAATAGACTCGTTTGCCCATTTGATTTTCATTTGATTTTTTATTTTTTTATGATGCAGAAAAAAAAAATTAAAAAAATGAATTGAAGTTCATATCTCAAATTTGTAGAAATTTTTTGTCATAATTTTTTAATATAAAATTACAAATTATGTGAGGGAAATTTTTATTTGTAGTAATCAAATAAATTTTGTTATATTAAAATCTAATAAATGTAAATAAAATGTGATTAAAAAGTTGTAAGTCATATAACATCTTAACAGATGAGACCATTAGGTGACAAGAATAATTCTATCTGTACACCCAAAAGTGTATCGAATTATTTATCCCTTCTCACTTGCACACGGGATCCGCGTGAATTAAAAATTTCAAAATGTGGTCCCCACCCTCTTATTATGAGCAATCGATGAGGGATTAGATAAAAAAAAAATTCGATACACTAATCATATGCATAACTTGTGCTCCCTTGTCTATGCCTTCATGCATTTATTGATTTAAGGACAATCAAACCCCCCATAAAATGAATTAATTCCACTGCTTTTGTATTTGTTAAAATGGTTGGATAAATATACCATTTCGGCCTGCTCTCCTTGAGTGTTACTAAATTATTTATTCTCTTTTTTGCACAAATTTCGAACTATTCAAACAATTCTTATTAAACTAAACAAAGTTAACGAGAATGTCTAATATCTCTAGGCTCTAAGAATGTCTAGTCTCTCTAGGCTCTCTCTCCCCCTTTTGGCATGAAGTTTGACTTGTATAGGCATTCACGTCAAACTACACAAAGTTAATGAGAACTTACAGTCTAATTATCCCCTCTCTTCATGCTTGCAAGAATTTTGGATCATCTAGGTATTTTCGTCAAAAAAATTTGTTACATAGGATCATTCAATCATACATAATGTTTATAAATCCATTTCATTAAAATGTCATATATGCAATCTAAGCATTAACGAGAAATATGATTGTGTTTAAATGTCTAGTTTCTCTAGACTATTTGTCTTCCCTTTTGCACGGAATTTAAATAATCTAGATATTTTTGTCAAATTACACAAAATTGATGAGAAATTTAGTCCATTTAGATACTTTGAGATGAGTTTGGTTTGCTGTTTTTAAGCCCTTTTCAATTTTGCAAAACTCTCAAAACTTGTTTGGTCTATTATTTCTGAAAATACATTTCCGAAAACAATGTTAAACTTATAATATAAAACTCAAATACAATTTTGAGGTTTTGAATGTCTTCGGCGAAAATTATGAAAACACTCAAAACATGTAAAACAAATGTTTACATAGCGCTCGTTTGACCTTCATTAAATTAAAATTTATTTTTATCTCTTTTAGTGATTATTTACATTAAAATTTAAAAGAAAAAAAAAATGAACACTACTAAAAATATTCTCCTATTCACATCATTGTTATTTTTATTTTTAATATTTTGACAAAATAATTTATTGTTTATTGTTTATTTTATTTTTTTACATATTACTTGATAATATTTTGACAAAATATTATAAAATTCACCAACTTTAAATTGTACATACTACTTGATAATATACTAACATAAATTTCTTTTAGTTTATTGAATAATCAAATTTTATGAAATAAAATATCATAAAATAATTTCACAAAATTTTGAACCAAACACATTTTCTAATTTGAGGAACAAATTTTCTAAATTACAAACTAAATATGTTTTTAGCAATCTTAATAAAACAAACCCTCTAAACAAAAATAATGAAAATGAATTCAAAACTCGGAATTGAATCACAAATCAAAAGGCCAATAGTTTTCCTCGTCAACTTTGCCTAGATGACTTTTTAATAAAATGACATTATAGCCATTTTGCATGATAAATATACCCACATTTACAATTGTTGATGTCACACAAATTTCATTTGACTAATATATTGGCATCACAATTTTTCCATTGCACCACTTTCAAAATTCCCTAAAAGTTCTTGATTTTGTTTATTATCCCACTTATGTCTTAACCCATCTTCTCACTCTTATGCTCAGTCATCAATTGATATTTGGTTCATCATGATTTCGATCCAAATATTCAATTAGATGTGAGAGGTAAAAAAATCGTCATACTTTTGTATTTATTGTTATTTTTTATTAGAAATATGGGGAGCATATAATTTTTTTATGCCCTCTTCACTAGCGGACCCACATGAGGTCATATGGGGTCAAATAACCTCACAGTTTTTTGAAAAAAAATTTCTCCCCTTGCTTAAAACGTAATTTTCTGTCAAAGTAGTGAACCGATCCAATTAATTGTCCTAACCCAATACCCAAAAGCCCAAACCCAAATCTTATTGTAGTAGCATAGGTCTTATTTTCGTTAATGGTACGTTGTTAAAAAAAATTTCATTTTTGACCCTACAGTTCGAACTGTCTGAGTTCGCCCTGGCCCTCTTAACAGACTGTTTGAATAGAAGCAATCAAGAATAATATGTGCTAAATAATGAAATGCCGAGAGAGGAATGTAACAATAAAAAATTGGTAGGTAACACAGTACGAAAATGAGCAAAAGTTGAAAATATTAGTTCAATTAAAAAGTGATGGAATAAATGAAAAAAAAAAAGTGGTATCAATACATGTTCGTAATATGTGAAACAATTCTTTTCAAAAAGACTCCAGAATGTTAATTTTACCCAAGTAAAGCCAATTCTTTCCCAAAACATTTTTTATACCCCAAAACATCACAATTTCTTAACACGTGAGAAGACACCAAAACATCATCACTCACATTACACCTTGGCATATCCCATTTGTTAAAACAGAGTTCGTAAAAAAGAAATGATGTGTTGAGATGTCCACAATGTAAAGCAAGAACAGCCAAGAGGACAGTAAATCTCAACTTGATTTTATAAGTAGACTGCAGCCTTGTATAACTTTATAACTATGCACATCCCAATGCTGAGATAAGAACACAGTTCAAACCCACATAAGACTAATTTTTACCGTTACACAAAAGATAATCACTGCATCTATTAAATAACAATCGCGCCATTTCCAATAGTGTTTATTGCAATACCAGTTTAAATCATCATTCTATCTCTATCTGCTGCGGCATATCTTCTGCTTGAACCTCTCTGCTGCCACTAATTTCTTCTTCAGCAATAGCAGAGGCATCAACTGTTCTTGCAACCCATTCCTTCAGAGGGTCTTCATTCAAGTCAAGCCTTAGAAAACCTGCAAACATCCCTCCCAAGAAGGCAACTGGCTCCTGATAAATAAGAAAATTAACTCATTAGAAATCTTGTGGAAACAGGTATTACTTATGCTGCACAAAAGAAGGCCATAAGAAAACAAGTCGCTAGATAAAAAGAGAAAAAGGAAAAACAACAAACGAAAATAATGATTGTGTACTCTTCTTGACAGAATAAGTAAAGATAATTACAACACAGAAGACTTTAGTTAATAGAAAGCAGCTAATTCTCCTTTCTTCTCCTGCTAAATAACACTCAGAAGTTTCTGGACCTTCCCATCGCTTTAGGACAGACAACAATGTGAATATGGCACACGAATACTAAGACAAAAGACCCCCGATATATTGATTAAAGTGAATAGCTGCAACACCTTCATTCCCTATGATCAAACATATCATGACCCCGAATTTTGATGTCTAAATTGAAATCATAACAAGAAGATATTGTTGCAGTTCAATAAGAGCTATTAGATCAGCATAAGAGTCGACTAAATAAACAAAAAGATATACTTAAAAATAACAGTTTAAATGCTTCATTTGGAGGATGGAAAGGAGAAGCAAAAAATATAAAATAAAATAAATCAGTTCACAGGTACGACTCAATAATCTTTGCAACTACTTATTTGTGAAAAAGAGCTTCAGCCAACGAGCGCATTAGAAAAACATGCATGTTCTTATACAACATTGAGAACCATCATTGAATTGGTAAATTCCATGTTAACATAGATTCGAAGACTAGTTCAGATCTAGACACAGCAGCACAAAAAATAATAATAATAATAAATAAATTCTAAGGTCTATGGGAATAAAACGTTATGGATATTTTCATGTTACATATAATACCCGTACCCGAACCCAAATTTCCGGTCTAATCATCAAAATTGAAAAATTTAGGGGCTCATTTGAGAGTTAATCCACCTTCTAAGAACTTGTTGCAAACTTACCATAAGTACTAATTCCCAAATGTTTTTTATTAAATTCTTGGTCAAACACTTACGTAGAAAATTCTTGATTTACGCTTGATTGACCAAACATAAGGTAATGTGTAGTGTGAATGCATAAATGTAGAAATGATTGAGAGATTCTTGCTCATTTCACAAATTTCAAGGAAAAATTTCCACCATTATGAATTTTTCCTTAAAGATGCATGCCTAACCTTGTCCTATTTAAACCCCTCATTTACATTCACATGCTACCACTCACTATTATATTTTTTTAGTCCAAATAATATACACATACACATTCATAAGCCAAGGTGGAAATTGTAGAAGGATCAAGTCTCTATTACTCTTTCTTTCAAACTTCATTGTAGCTACACTGCCTATGTTGAATTATTGGTATGTTATGAATTTCAAGAAAATTATTATGGGTCCCATATGTTATGATATGATTATGATTATGTTAAGGAGACCAGAGTTTAGTAATGCTACACATAAAAATTCTTAACACCTATACTCTGTAAAATTCTTGTGTCTCTATTATTTTGATTATAATTACTGTGCTCTTTTAAGTTATACACAATAATAATTCATGACGTACTTATTGAGATTTTATAAATCTCACTCTATGATAATTCCCCCTTTCAAGCAATTAAAAATTGTTATGTTGGAATTAATTTCTTTCCTTCATTTTTCGCAGCTACATGATAAAACCAAAAATTTATTTATTTATTGAAGAAAAATAAAATTATTTCATGTTCTTATTTTAGTTCTTATGAAATAATTAAGTTTTATTTAATAACTCTCGAATTGTCAAGGATTCGGGCCGTCACATTACATGTCAAAATTTAAACAACCTGAACATTCCAAACCCAGTTTAGCATAGAATTAACCTCTTAAATGGACATTCCTAAAATCTAAGTACAAATATTTTAGTTATGATTTTCCTCAGTGCAAGTGTACAAAAGCAATGTTTTAAATTCACTTTTTGTGGAGTTTCATCACCATAGCACCAATCTCACTAGGAGTCTTCTTCTCTTTTCAGGCAATGCAATGATCCAAGGCAGTTGGATCAAGTCATGCTACAATGCTGACCAAGCCATAGCAAGATAAGCCTTGAGCAAATCAAGGGCATCTAGAATTCTGCAAAGAGGTTGAACTTCAACATACACACCCCAGTAGTCACTACGTCTAAGCCCTTTAGCAACAAACAAGCGAATTGTTTGATATCATACAAAGATGTACAACAAGGAAGCAGTGTGTCGTCTGCAAGAGTTGCTATCCCCATATTTTTGATAATTCAAATTGTTATCCTATTAACCCTGCAAAGTGCTCTTTAAAGCGTCCAAAACATCCTAAAACCAGTATCAATTTAATTGTACAGGAAAGAGCATAAATCAGAGACACGAGGAGATTGATGCTGTCATGCACTCCAGTAGTTCCTGGTTACCAGCTAAGGCACTATGCTAGCTACTTAAATAACAGTACCCTCTCTGCAGGCATCTTGGTAATGACACTTACGAGTAATTCTGACAAAGATTGGTATCATCGAGAAAAGTTCAGCTTCTTATAGGGATGCTCAGAGCATGTTCATTCTAGCAAGTGGAGTGCATGATTAGCTGAACTCCATAACAAAGGTACACATGCTCTACACCAAAAAGTACTATCCTCGACATCATAGAAGCACGAGTGTAATGAAATCTCAAAAGAGGGAGCTGAAAAGTAAGTCTTTATGGCAGTCTTCTTCTAAATGTCACAATTAGAAAAATGTAGAAGATTCCAGAAAGGATTTCATATCATCTGTTCACGCCAATAAATAATTAGTACAAAACCAAACTTCTCAAAACTAGTGTAACTCACTAATCCCCACTAATAATGGCGACAAAGGATAGCTATTATCTATTCCAATCATCACTGCTTACAAGGTATCTTGTTAATTAACATAATCTTTAAATGCTCCATTTCGATTGTAGAACTTAAAAAGCAGAAGTACAAGCAAATTGAGACCTTGTTTGTTGAACATTTTTTTCTTTTTCTCCGCTAACTAAAATTCCAAATCTAAACAAAGCTTAACTAGGACATCTACGGAAATAGACAGTTTGAATATTACGTATGGGTTCAAGAATTCGAGAAACGTGTGCCTGGATATGAATTACACGTGCTTGGGATAATTCAGAAAGAAATAAAGCCCCAGCGAAATTTCAAAATGCATATATTTTAATTTTACCTTAAGAGCTTCCTTGACAAGGGGATCTTGGGTAGGATTGTAGATAAAAGCCCTAACCCGGAACCCACCAGGCTTTGAGCTTGAATAACACGAATTAGACGAGGGGAAGGAAGAAATCAACTGTTTGCGTGGCACAACAGCTTTCCATCTGGGCTGTGACAAATAAAGATTGTGAAAATTAGCCTATAAACACGGCTAATCTGAAGATGGCAGTGAAACTCACTGTTGCTGATACTGCAGAAACATTCAAAAGCAAAGACATGATTTGCTTTGCTGCTTCTTCCTTCTCTTCCAATGTCGATTTTTCCTCCTCCTGCTCTACTAGAAATCAAACCAAAATTGCGAATTAATTGTTCCAATGGTCAGTACATATCTTCGATTTGTTAGTGAAGTTTAAAATATCGGATCACCGAATCTAGTTCTATATTTTCAATTGCTAATTAAAATTTAAAATGTCGAGCAATTAAACTTTAAAAATATTGTACATTATTCACAAAATTTTGAAAAATATTGTACATTACTGACTAAACTTTGAAAATAATATACATTACTCACTGTAAGCTTGATATTTTTCAAAATTCAACAGTTGTGCTAATGAGTAATATACAGCATATTTCAATGTTCAACGATCAAAATTCAACATTGTAAATTTCAGTGAACAATTTAAAATATGAACCTAAGTTCGGTGAATAATTGAAGATAAGTTCAATGATCAAAATTTGACATTTTAAATTTTATTGACCAATCAAAGACATAGACCCAAATTTAGTGACCATTGGAACAATTAACTCCAAAATTGTCGTATAATCCATGTGTAGTATTTAAAATGTCTTCCTAGTTATATTGCTAATCTTTTACATACTTTTAGTTGAAGGCGTAGGTTAAGTACATGAATGGTCAGTAAACTTTACGATATATTATTACTTGATAATTAAATTTAAAAATATATCTCAATGGTTTGTTTGAGCCAATTTTTCATCAAAATACATTTTTCAACAATAATTTGATTTCATTTCAACCCCACATTTTTCAATAAAATAATATTTTAATTAAATTCAAAAATTTCCTATTTTTTTAACCACACATTCTCCATCATAACACTATTTCAAAATATTTTTTTAAAAAAAGAAAAAAGGAACTCAAACAACACTTGAATTTTGTTAAGTGTTACTATTTCATAATTGAACAAAAAAATATATTTCGACGATCACTGATCCATGCACTATGTTATCCATCCATCACTCAAATGGAAAAATGCGTTAAGTTCAACAAACGGCGATTGATAACACGGTGTATAATTCAGTGACTATTGAGATACATTTTTTGAGTTCAATTGTGAAGTGATAATACTTAGCAAATTTTAGTGACCATTGAGATACTTTTTTTTAAGTTCGGTTATTAAATAGTAACAATTTCTTTTTTCCTTAAACCGACTTCTGTGAAAGAATAAACCAAAGAAAATGAAGGGAAAAAAGTTGAAATTTTATAATTTGAACATTTTTTAATTTTTCTATATCATTCTCTTTCAACGTACCTATTGTTTTTCTTTCAATTTTTTTTATATGAAGTTCGAGATCCGGTGATCTGATATCAGTTATTCTAAAAATCAAACGTACTTTCACCCCGATGAAGACTATATACCGAATAAAAATAGAACATTTTCCCCTTCATTTTCTTTAGTTTCTTCTTTCATAGAGGTCGATTTGAGGGAAAAAATTTATCACTTAATAATCGAACTTAAAAATGTATCTCAATTGTTACTAAATTTCGTCAAATGTTACTACTTCATATCTGAATTAAAAAATGTATCTTAATAATCACTGAACCATACATCATATTACCCATCAATCACTCAAATTGACGTTATTTGTTGAATTTAACAGATTTTTCTATTTGAGTGATGGATGGATTACATGGTTCATAATTCAATGATTATTGAGATACATTTTTAAATTCAGTTATGAAGTAATAACACTTGGAAAAGTTTAGTAACTATTGTGATACATTTTTAAATTCAATTATTAAGTAATAATATATGGCAAAGTTCAGTAATCATTCATGTAATTAACAATCGTACACAGAAAAGAGTTTGTTCTTGTCTGTGCCACATCTTTCGCTTGAATCTTTGCAGCCCATATTTTGTAACAAAATCCTCCATATTTATGGTTTGTATTCGATTGGAACTTGACCTTTTGAGATGTCTTTGCTTGTTTACTGTTCTTTAAAAATTCATTCATTCTTATATTTATTTTTGTTAGGAAAATATGTAATTGGCAAATCTGTGATCAAGGACCAAATTGTCAAAATTGTAAAGTCAAGGACCAAATTGTCAATGTCTAATAGTTCAGGGACTAGAGTTGCAATTAACTAAAGTTTATAGGCTAGGTCTAGGGTTGTGTGGGATGCCTCGAAGATGCAAGCGGCGCTTTGATTTCGCTAGAGTCTCGCCCTGACCTCGCTCGAGCCACAATTGCAGAACCAACTTTGCTGGACTCACGCTGAGCCATCGCTCAAGCGAAATGTACGTCGCTCGAGGCTAGCCAGTACCTCGCTCGAGCGACCGCGTTACCTAGCCTATTCTAATTTTAAACGCTCGCGAATGTTTGACGCTCCACATTACCGTATATCAACCTCTATATATACTAAACGTCCTATTCGTGTTCATAAACCCGAAAATTCACATTGAAAACACTTTGAATATTCTTTCAATTCCTTGACAACCAAAAATCCAAATCATTCTCTCCAAGGATCAAAAGCCAAAGAAATCCTTCATTGTTCTCATACCAATCTTTGGCTTGTTGAGTAAAAACATCAAATCCATAAATACCAAAACACCTGTCTCACAACTCCAATTAAACTTCCAGAAGATCATCAGTTTGAAGATCCGGGAAGGATTTGCTTGAAGAGCTGGAGTGCATGACGATTCACGGGAGGTAGAAATTATACAAGGCTGGGATTTAGTATGGATCTGCAAAATCCAGGAGGGTCTTGAGTTCATACAGCAAGGAGGTCAGAAAATTGAGAGTGTCAATGATGTCTGGCATGCTGTAAGTTGGTTTCTACAATAGTGAATCTCTACTGGATTGTGCCCGGAGTTTTTACCCAGTTGGGTTTCTCCGTCAACATGTTTATTGTGTTTTTACCGCTTTAATTTATTTACTTGTCAATGGTAATCCAACATAAGTAGATAAAGCACGTGAATTAATCTGGACAAATTATAATTTGTGTGACTTGTTGCATGAATTATTCAAAAAGTTTTTAATTCCGCAAGAACACCTATTCACCCCCCTCTAGGTGTTAGTTGGGTCAAACGATAGGTTTTTCAATTTTTAACAACACATCTCACAAAAAAATATTTTAAAAGTAAACACAAAAATTTTCTCTATATTTTAACTATACATTCTTAAAAAATCACTATTGCAAATTTCATTTTCTTTGAAAAACTCAAGCATCGAACATGGGTTTAAAAATTTTAAGTGTATTCAATATTGATACTTTGATATTCTCTAAAAGTTACGATATAACAATTAAATCTTTTAGAAGTATTTGAATATTGAGATATTCAAATTGTTAATGACTTTTAAAAACTTTAATAAAAATCTCTAGGTACTAATTTTTAAATTGAAAAGTATAAAAATAAAATCTCAAAGTTTGTCTCTCGTTCATTCCAATATTTTTTGGAGATTGACTAAAAATAACATTTATTTATCTCTTGTTCCTTTCAATATTTTTATTTCATTTTCCCTTTTACGGACGTTAAAGCCATGATTAATTTTTTTTTTCTACTGGTTACATCTCTCTCTCTCTCTCTCTCGCTTTTATTGTTTATCTCCATTCTCTATGAAAAAAATTAAATTGTAGCTAAAAGATTCTTATAACATTTTTCTTGTTTCACCATTCTTTTATGGGAAAAATCTCTTTATAATTAAATTATAAGATTTTAAATAAGAAATACTAATTTATAATCAAATCTAAATATATTATTTTTTATTTACAGAAGTTTACAAAAAAAAAAAAATTTCATTAAGTTCATACAATATATAATAATCCATGAAATTCACAAAAGTCATTATTTAAAGAAGTCTATGAAAATCCTCAAAAGTCTCAATGGAATGCACCCCTTTAATATTGAGGGCCGTTATATGGATAAGTCCCAACCCTCAAATAGGGGGCTGCCACGTTGGCCATTGTTTGGATAGGGGCCTATTCAAGTAGTTTTTTCCTTTAATTCCTATCAAGAAAAGTGACAACAAACAATATCAACTTTGACCTTTTTTTTTTTTTTTTTTTCACTATTGCAAATTTCATTTTCTTTGAAAAACTCAAGCATCGAACATGGGTTTAAAAATTTTAAGTGTATTCAATATTGATACTTTGATATTCTCTAAAAGTTACGATATAACAATTAAATCTTTTAGAAGTATTTGAATATTGAGATATTCAAATTGTTAATGACTTTTAAAAACTTTAATAAAAATCTCTAGGTACTAATTTTTAAATTGAAAAGTATAAAAATAAAATCTCAAAGTTTGTCTCTCGTTCATTCCAATATTTTTTGGAGATTGACTAAAAATAACATTTATTTATCTCTTGTTCCTTTCAATATTTTTATTTCATTTTCCCTTTTACGGACGTTAAAGCCATGATTAATTTTTTTTTTCTACTGGTTACATCTCTCTCTCTCTCTCTCTCGCTTTTATTGTTTATCTCCATTCTCTATGAAAAAAATTAAATTGTAGCTAAAAGATTCTTATAACATTTTTCTTGTTTCACCATTCTTTTATGGGAAAAATCTCTTTATAATTAAATTATAAGATTTTAAATAAGAAATACTAATTTATAATCAAATCTAAATATATTATTTTTTATTTACAGAAGTTTACAAAAAAAAAAAACTTTCATTAAGTTCATACAATATATAATAATCCATGAAATTCACAAAAGTCATTATTTAAAGAAGTCTATGAAAATCCTCAAAAGTCTCAATGGAATGCACCCCTTTAATATTGAGGGCCGTTATATGGATAAGTCCCAACCCTCAAATAGGGGGCTGCCACGTTGGCCATTGTTTGGATAGGGGCCTATTCAAGTAGTTTTTTCCTTTAATTCCTATCAAGAAAAGTGACAACAAACAATATCAACTTTGACCTTTTTTTTTTTTTTTTTTTAAAAGCCCTGCGGGGCATAGTCTAGTGGTGCAAAGGACAAGAGTGAAATATCTCACGCCTTGCTGCCAGCCGCAGTGTGGAGATTCGATTCTTGAGATATGGAATTGGACTCCTTGCATGCGCAGTGTACATGCAGCTCTTGTTCCCTAGCCTGTTGAGACACATCTCGCGATTTACTTCCCTCACAAAACTCTATGGGTGGATCGGTGGGGGCCCTCAAGGTTGTGGTTCAACCTTTTTTTTTTTTTTTTTTTTAACTTTTACCTTTTTTTTTCCCCAACTACTACTAGATTTTCAAAATTGTTTTATATCCATCAATCTCACTCCTTTTCATTTAAAAATAACATTTTATTTATTTATTTATTTATTTTGTGGTCAGTAATAGAATGGTTAATTTTTTGAATGGTTAAAAATGGCGAATGTGAAATAACCTTAAAAAAACTTTGACAACAGAGAAACAAATTTAAAAAATTGAAGTGTAGTTACCTCTAAAAACAACTTTATAGGTACAGTCAATAGTGCCAATTTGAAATTTTGGTTTTAACTTTAATCTAAATCGAAAACAACTTTAAAATTACATTGACTAATGTAATTTTTTACTCATGGAGTGATTTTCACTCGGGTTTTGCTTCACGTACATATCCTGGTGTATAGCCCCCTCATAAAAGAAGGGGATCCGCATCCCCTTACAAGCAGGGGGTCTGCACTTTTTTATATTGGACGCAGGCCTCCATCACAAGCTGTAACACTGAGCTTGACAACACAGTGTACAAAGATCAAAACCCTTTATCTCACATATGGACTAGACTTTCCTTGCCAAAATTTAAGTTTACACGTTTGGTGTAATATATCACCACTCTCTCATGTTTCAGCAATTTTGAGACTGAAATCAAGTCGAAGAAATGGAAGTTACTGGCATGACTATTTCTTCTGGTCAAATGAAAGATATCACCATACAATATTGTAGTCGTACAAGACGCAATAAAGGACAAGAGAGATTATTCGATAACCGTGAGATGTCTCTTTACTTTTCACTTCCTATCACTCAATCTTTTTACGCATTCTTCATGAGCGGCCATACGGGCGGATATATAAACTTTTGAATAGGAATTTCGAAAACTACTACTGAACACACAATAAAAGGAAACAGAGAATAGTCAGGATGACTCAACATTAATGCATTAACGGCACATTCAAAGACACACATACAGCCCCTGTTCAGTTCAACAAAAAATTTAAATTTTAGTAAATTTTGATAAAAGTTGATAAAACACGTGGTTTAATAGTTGTGAATCCCATGAAACGTAGGTAAAAATGAGTTTGAGCAAAAATGAATTTTAGAAAAATGGGAACGTTCAGAACCAGAATCTCAAAAGTAAGCAATTTTGAAGAGACAACCAGAGCCTAGTTTCATGAGCGCGCACATACCACGATGTCAAATAACAAGAAGATTCTAGTCAAGACTTACACAAAAAAGAAATAAAGGACATCCTACTTGCTGCCATACTGCTAATTATACATAATGTTTGAAATTCTCACACTGTTCTACTAGTAAGATATATGAATGCTTGAACCTGGGATTCAATTTGAGTCCATAGAAAACATTGTACCTGCTGGTGTGCCTGCAAAACAAAAATCATAACTCGACTTGGATTGCGTGGACTTATGTGCATATGTCAAGTCTTAAGTCACGTCTAACATTTTATGTGAAATCACGTTTCAACTTTTCAAGTGAGCTTGCATTTGCAAGCAATCAGCTCCAGCATGATAATTTTTTTGTTGCCGTGGCTGGATTGTGTAAGCCAAAATAAACAATATCAGCATAAGAAGATTATAGAGAGTAAGTGTTAGAGAACAGGATACTTAAGTTTTTATATGGAAGGTTCGATGGAAGGAAACTGGTGGAAACCGATTTAACCTCACATTTTCTTGATTTTTTGAAATGTGAAAAATGATAACAAACTATTGTATAAATTGTAAAGTTTCTCTCTTGATCATGTCTACATGCTCAATTCCTAGATTTACCCTTTGGATCCGAGCATGAGAACAGGCTTTCCTCGTAGTTTTCCTTCCTTTTCTTATAGTGAAAGATAAGATCCATAAGACTCTCAAATGATGACAAAAGGCAAAACAGCTAATACTTCAAATGGATCAACGCCTCATGGATCACACGAATGTGCCCTCATCCAGCTAAAGGTACAAAGTAAATTTATGGAACAGAAACTTACATATAGCCATTATTAACTATCTAGTTTACCCATACACTAAAAAGAAATGAACAGTGCAAAGTGCAAACCTCCACAAACAATTAGAAAGAAGCTTCTCGTTCCAAAAGAAAACACTCAAAACATACCCATCAATACCTGGAAACTTGAGATATTGCAGAGATTCTCAAAAAACGCTGACTCCACTATAACCAGGATTCATGTTTTTCCCCTTAATTTAAGCACATTTCATATCAGAAAGATTTCTATATAGTTCCATCGCATAGCATGAAGTACTGAGGGAATGGTTTAAACTCTTTCTTGAAAGAGAATTTGCTTCTCGATTGATATTATATAGAGAGTGAAACAAGAGAAACATATAGCAATAGGCAAGACAGCCATAAGCAATTTCTATTTATTGGTCTAATAATCTTACATGAATTGAGGTACTCAATCAACCAAGCAAAAACTACAATGGCACTCAGAAATCTGAACACAAATACTGGAGATTGAATTTGTCAATACCAGCATCATTACCATGAAACCACAATGCAAATTATGCAATGCACAATAACAAACACCTTATTTCTACTGAAGCTAGAGCTAGATAATTACGGGATTGGACTTATCTTGTGTCTTCTAAAAACACAAGAAGCAACTAACCAACGAAAAAGACAACTGCTGACTTAACATACAATGCATATGCAATATTAACAACACTCGTTAGGCAGACCAACAACATCTGATCAATAATAAACGACGAATTGGATTCTCTTACAGCACTCTGATTGGCATACATTCCGACTAACAATCAATTCGCATCACCTTCCCTTCGTTGTTCAGAGGATTGAGGTGGATGGCCGGATAAAGATGCCAGCAAATTGAGGTGGTGCCCTTGTACTTGAGCTATGGGCAAGTAATTACCAACCCTTGCAGCTGATGCTTCACCCATCCCCAACGGCTGTTGCTGCTGAAGAAACCTCAAGGAAGCCGAAGGCTGCTGCTGCTGCTGGGGATTATTCGATGCGGCAGCTGCAACCACCATTTCACCAGGAGGCGCAGCGAAGCTCCAGACTTGTCCAAAATCTGACCTGGCAGGCAAAGCCCAAAACCCTCCAGCAGCCACCGTGGGACCCACGGCAGCCGTAACATCATCTTTCGAGATGTGGTGTTGGTGTTGTTCTTCATCGTCTGGACGGAGACGCTTACCGAGAAGGAACGGCGTCGGTGCAAGCAAAGATTGAGAATGAGAATGAGACTTGTGGTCTAGGGCAGCAGAGACGGAAGAAGAGCTACGGGTGGAGGCAGAGACGGTGGAGAAATTGGCAGGGGTAGTACCAGTACCAGTGGCGGCTATAATCGACGGCTCCGCGTGGCGTAGAAGCCACTCAATCGTCTGTCCATCAGACTTGTGGCCAAGCTCACGAGTCAGCTGGAAAACCCTGGCGGCGCAGATAATAGGCATGCGGATACGGCGGCCTCTGCCGTCGACCTTGCTATGGCGGTCCTTAGCCGGCGGTTTCTTCACCCCCAACGCACCGTTATTATTTCCGTTGCCTCCGGCCCTCTGAGAAGGATCTATAATTGCTCCTCCATCACCGTTGCCGTCAGCTGCCGACGTTGACATAGTAGAATTAATAAAGATACTTCACTGATTAGCTAACTAACAGTGTCAGTATAGAATTCTCGTAGATACTAAATTGAGGAAGAATTGAGGGTTTTGAGTTGGAATTGAAATGAAATTAGGTGTGTTTGATTTGGGAATTGGGATTTGGGAGTGAGTATGAGAAGGGGGGGAACTAAGAGACTAATGATTGAGCGGCAGGAGCTGGTGGAGACAGGAAGAGGGCACATGGGTGGATGGGGTCCACATGTAAACCCTATGTCACGCACTTCATAACCTTTCTGTCCTAACACGCGCCATTCGAAAAAACTGTAAATGAAAGAATTAGAGCACATGCCTATAAACTATGGAACGTCGAAAGTTCGAATCCTTCCTCATCCACAACTAGTCGAAAAGGGCCTCTTACTATGGGACGCTTGACTCTACCCGAACTTTTCTAGTTCGCCCGCAATGAAAACGTAAAAAACGATCATTTTTGTTTGACCCAAAATTTAAGAGCACATATAAATAAATAGAAATGATTGACAAATAAGTAAATAATATTTGTGAGTCTATCGAATGTGTAGATACAAATATTTATATAGGGAATCAAATGAATTGGGATAGTACAATTAAAAATTTGATCACGAGTCTCTTGGTTACCTCACGATACACTATGATTAACGAAAAATATTTTTAATTTTACAATTAATTTTTAGATGTCAAACCCAAATCCCTAATAATACTAATTTTCTCTTGTAATTAGCGAATCATTCTATTTGGTGTGCTCGATTTATTAAAAAAAAAGATGTTTAATATAATAGAAATACCTTTTAAGACTTTTTCTGGTGATCGAGCTGAAACATAGTGTAAATATCAATAATTGTTCCTCAAACGGGTTATTTATTAGTACATATTTGATTCCCAATTTTTTAAAAGTGAGAATGAAAAATATAGTCGTTACGGAATTCACACAAGATATAGAAAGTCAAATATGATGGCTTAATGTGATGGATAACAATTATATTTTTTATTTTTATGGCGAAAGAATGGATATCCAACGGAGGCATAATATTAAACTAGTAAATATTAAATAAAATCTTAATGCAAGTTCCACTATAAATAAACAAGTAAATATTATTGTCCTAAAGTTTACTCATAACAGCATTGCACTAATTATGTTCAACTACCTACATTGTTTTTATTATAGTTGTAGTTAATAGTCATTTTAATTTATAAAGATATTTAAATTTATTAAATTAAGCACATTGCCAAAATAAATAAATAAATAAAAATACAGAGAGAAATGAAATGTAAGAAACTGAAAGAAACGAAAGAAGACTCTGTTTGATGTTAAGAAAGACGTCTGGTGTGGTCCAAAGGCAAAGGCAAAGGCTAAAGGGAATTTAAGAAGGTGGGACCCTCCCTAACGCAATGCAATCCCAATGTTTTTCAAATTCATATTCTCTTGGACAAATTTATATATAAATATTATTATCAATTAATTATGGAGTGAAAAAGAGGAAACGAGTGTAATACTTTGTTGAATTTTCAATGAAATAAATTTTATTTTGACTTAGTTGGGTTGTTGAACTTTAATTAAATTTCAAATTTCACAATCACTCACTCATTTTTTTGTAAATTTCTAAATTGTTAGCCATACTGCAATAATTTTTCACTTCGTAAAGTGATTATATTTTATACTTTTAATATAGATATTATCATAATCTTACTTTTCCCGTTTTCAGTTCTGGAGTGCCACGTAGCGATGAAATATGAATTGGGAAATTAAAGTTTAGCGACTCGACTAAAGATTAGTTGAAAGCTCGGGTGGCCGTGGACGAGAAAATAATTTTGATACCAGTTTTTATTATTTTTTATTTTTTATATATCAATGATGGAACATTCCTTTGCTAATTTCCACTTGATGACGAGATTATCCTAATGATCTCATTATTATATAACAAACCGCAATCATTGTGGTCCCTAAAGCAACTGGATTTCATGCCCAATATTTGAGCAAGGCCCACACTTGATGGAACTAAGTCTATGGGCCACGTCATTGTAGGCCCATTATTTAATTGGGCTCATTGGCCCGGTTTCTCTTCTGTATTACCCTTTTTAGATTTCCAATTCCAAGGACTTTGGGGGAAAACAAACCCTAATCGGGCAATTCCAATTTCCAACATCAAATCGAGATTACTGTGAAGCTCTTTATTCGTTCTTGTAATTGTAATCGAGTGAAAGAAGTCAGCTGAATTGCTCAATTCGAGTACGGGAAATGGCAGGAAGAGAAGTTCGAGAGTACACAAACCTTACGGATCCCAAAGGTAGGTCACTCTTTTTGTGCGAATGTTCTCAAGTGCTTTGTTTATGTGAAAATTGATTATCAAATCGGACGCAGATAAAAAATTGGGGAAGGGAAAGGACAGAGTAGATGATGAAGAAATTACTTTTCAACGCATGGTCGCCAAGGTTAGCGAATCTTGTCTCTCCTCCCTTTGCCGAGCCTGTAGATTATGGAAAGTAAAAAAATCACTTTTATGGCGAATTTGGCATCATGTTTCTGTGATAATTTAAAGAACTTTTAATTGATTATGTTCCTGAGTTTACTTTTCATTTTCTTTTTATGCCCCATTTGGACGAGCTGTAAGAATTCTAGGGCTGGGATCCTTTACTAGAAATAGTTTTTTCGTTTTTCTATTTTAAAAAAAAAATAAAACCAGTGATGAGATTTTTATACTAATTGGAGCTTCAGAGGGTAGAGATTATCGTTGTGTTGCAAGAACCTTCAGTATAGCCCTATTCATGTAATCGAAGCAAGATACTTAACTTGTGGCTTTTCTATCAAGATTCAAGATGGCTATGTGACATTACTTAGATTAAGCTGTGTTACCTGACCAATGTTATATGAAATTAAGCCCTTGTTTGTCAACCATTCTCCCACATTCTACCACATTATTTTTTCTACAATACTGATTTTCAACCACACATTCTCCATTAAAATAATATCACACATATATCAAAAACTTTTCCTTCTTTTTTAACCACACATTTCAACATCAATCACTATTCCATACTCCAATTTTTGAAATTAAAGGGCCACAAACAGGGCCTAAGTTGCATTTGAAGCCAAAATATTTCAGAGTTTTTTCTTCTGTCCTTCACATGTCTCCCAAGTAGAATGCAAATATTGAGGATAATGCTACTGGAGGCTATTATATATAGTGGCATCCTTAGTAGAAGAAATACTCTTCAGCCCTCATCTTTTAGGAATTGAGAGAGAGCCTTTCTACGTGATGTGAAATAGGGGGAGGAATGAAAGGATTGACCAAGATTACATGCAATGAGGTTGAATATAGAAGCGTCTTTTGTAAGTTCAGTTAGTATAAGTGAGGTTTATATGAAATCTTCAATCATTCTTGTTCTTCTACTCTGCATTCTCAAGTCTTGAGAATCCTGTAACACGGAAATTTGAACATTTGGGAGTTTTCTGATAACATGCCCCGGCAGGGATCTTGGCTTCCTCAACTGGGTGGCTGATATACACAGATGCAAGAGGTTGCAGGAGAACGTGGAGGTTACCTTCATGGACGAGGCGGTATAAATTGTCTACTCTCCTATCATACTGTTTTGATCCTTCGTTTATATAAATTTGATTGTCGTGCTTGTGTATGTGATTGCAAGTATAAAATATATCACAAGTAGTTCTTGATCTTTGTTAAGTTTCAATAAGCAGCCTTGGACAGCGATGATTTACTTTATCTCAAGGAGCAGATGGAGGCTGAGGAAGATGCGGAACGTCTTCTACGCCGTACAGAGAAACGTGCATTTGCTGCTTTTAAGATATCCTTTTATTTTCCTCAAGTACTATTAAGTGATGATGAGGAATCATTAATGCAAAACTCTGCAATTGGTAAAAGATTTTCTTAACTAGATTGAGAAAAGAAGTTATTTCCTAGGGTTTCTCTCTCTTTTCTTCAGAAGTTGCTATGAAATTGTCATGATTATCATTATATAAAGGGTAAATTGCAGCTGGGTTCCCTAACCTTTGAAGGATGTGAATTGATGGGGTTCCCAACCTTTGATTTCTAACACATGGAGCCCTAAACCTTTCAAATGTTTGCGGTTGAGGTCCTTTTGTGTCTGAAACTATCAGTTTGAACATTATGTCAGGTTTTAAATAAAATGGTCATTGTACCCTTATTTTGATATAAAACAAATAAATAATAAAAAAAATGAATAAAGAAAAGTAAAAATAACAGATCCCCAACACCCTT